AACTTTTAATAATCAGCACTCAGTAGCAGTAATGGTAACCAATCAGCACTCCGTAGCAGTAATGCTAACCATTTAGTGCTCAGTAGCAGTTATGCTAACCAATTAGCATCCAATAGCAGTAATGGTAACCAATCAGCATTCAGTAGCAGTTATGCCAACTAATCAGCACTCAGTAGCAGTAATGCTGCCCAAAACCCTTTTGCTATAGAAAAAGAAAGAAATACACAGATAAGTTTTCTTTGCTTTTTAGTAAAATACATCCTTCTACTTCTAAAATTAAGGAAGATTCTGGTCAAATGGTCAGAAAATTATTATTATTTTTTTTTTAAGTTTTCATTTTTAGCTTTTTATCTCCATTCACCCCCATTCATTTAGGACTCTGGCATTTTGCAGACATGTTTTGATATAACAGGAAAAGGAGTGGCCAGGTTCCTCTTTAATCTGGGTAAACTTCATTCGCTATGAACACTGATTAGGGCTGGGAATCGAAAATCAGTAATTTGAATAATGTGGATCTGCTCGTTCATCTTTCCACTGTGAACTCTGCACCTAATTATGGAGCCCTGAACCTCTTAGGATGCCATTTTCTCTGAAGACCAGATACGGGATCCCCAAGGGGTCGCCTCAGGGTAACATTGGACTTTCCTGACCATTCATCTGACTATGTTCTTTATCACACCCTCCTGCCAAAAACAGGTGAGCCTATCCAATTTATTCAGTGTGGCCCGTGCAACAGTTATGCCAAATTTTATTTTTCCCAATATGCTGAACTAATAAACAGTAATTGTGCATTAAAATGTGCTGAAGTGTCTTTTCTGTAAAGGAAGTGTTAACTTATTTTCCACTGGGTTTATATAACTCTTGCAGTAGGGGAGGCAAATTACTGACGAAAAATAGGAAAATAAATAAATATAGATTTATGTCTTTCATGATAATCCATAAATATAGATTACCTCTGGGACAGGCACCTTCTCCTCCTCCACGGCAAGAACTGACTTCTGTGGTTCATTCAGAGTCTTTGTTTCACCCACCAAAAAGTGCACCATAGTGCTACATTTTAATTCCTTGAATGTTAAAGTTCCACTTTTCAGCATCTTTAAAACATCTAAAGCTAAAATAAAAGACAAATAAAACAAAACCAAGTATTTTAAATGGGACAATAATTACAAAGTAAATTATTACATAATTGATTAATTTTACCCCTGAGGTCCACCTATATTTATATGGTTTTATGGAGCCAAAAACAGTCATAATTAATTTCCACAATCATTTTCCAACTTCTTTATCCCTCAGAATTAAACAGGTTGTTTCTGTTACTGTGCCTTTAAGACCAATATTTCTTTCAATCAAGTTAACAGTTTGTATGTTTTTTGTATCATAATTATTACAAAATAACATTAAATTTATTTTACAAAAACAAGCTCTCACCCTTTGATGGGTTTATCTCCACCACGGCATGACACGGATCATCCAGAAGTTGAAGGTTCAGAACAGCGCAGTGCTCTCCCACACACTCAGACAGTGTTATATTGAACCACCCCTGAAGAGCTCTTTGCAGATGCGATTTCCATCTGTCTGGTATTTTCTGTGTCCACTCTACTCTGATATTAACCTTTACAGAGTCTAGAGGGACCGGGGTTTTGGCTCCATCTGCTGTCCCTAAATCAGCTGCTCTGTTTTTTTCCTGAAATTAAAAAAGCAGGATTAGAGACAGACTTGAAATGTACAATACACACTGAAAGGACGGATATCAGAAATGAGGAAAAAACAGGAAACCTTTTTTTGTATAATTTGAAAATACCAGCTGTTCCTTATACAAAGGTTTGAACACCCCCGGTCAAACCGCATGTTGTTGATTTTGAACATAGTTTAACACATCCTTAACAGTTAAATATGGATTTTTTCTGCAAATCTTTAGTGCCCAATTTGTATTTGCTATGTTTAATATATTGGAAAAAATTAAATATAAAATATGTGCCATAACTTTTGCACAGGCCACAATTTATGTTTTATTTTTCCCATTATGTTAAATACAGCGGATAAAGAGTACTCGTGTATTAAATTGTGCAGAGGTGTGTGTAAGCTGGCCTAAATAATTCAAACACGAATATTTGTTTGTTCTGTTGATATTCAAATGTTCTTTCAAAAGCTTTGCTACAGCAATCGAAACCTAAAATAAATTGTATCAGCAAAAGCCTTTAGATAGAACAGTGACTGTTAATGTGTTAATGAAAATGTTAAAAGTAAATACAGGGAGATTCACTCGAAAGAGGCCCCGAATATTCTGTAATAACTCTTGCTAGGATGAAGCAAACTGAACAAAACAACATGCAATGTGCTCCTCAGTATATGGAGCTTCGAACAAGCTGGGATGCCCCTGCGTCAGAGCGATGAGGTAAGCGCTGGACAGGCGTCGCAACATTTAATCTCCGTTTGCAACTTCTGAGTGCAAACTCCCGTACCCCTTCATGTGTCTGGCAGAAAACGGAGATCACTTCCACCATCACTTGTAATGCAATCGATTACACAAACGTCAAGGCATGTAGCATTTTTTTTTTTTTGTTCAGATTGCTTCATCCTAATGGGAGTTACAACTGAATATTCGGGGCCTCTTTCGAGTGAATCTCCCTGTAAATTATAGCTGGTTATTTTGAATATATAATTAACTCAAACCCAGACATCAGCTCAAACTGCACTGATTTTCATGTGGCCACGGATGCGTAAAGATCAGAGACGCCTCAGAAAGAAATCACATTTCTCTTTAAAATATCAGACGATAAGAAAATGAGGTATACCACAGAGACTCAAGAAATGTGATGAATCACCTTAAATATGTAAAAACAGTGATCCTTATCAGAGTAGTGGCATGCAGCCAATCCACCCTGTCCTTGACTCAGCTCTGTTTCAGATGGGAATATGAGCTCTTTTGTCTCATTTTCTTCCTCTTCTCTTTTTTCAAACTTTAATTGATTAATAAAATGTTCCAAATGAAATGTAGCAAAACTCCTCAATAATTCTAAATGAGCAAAACATAATGGGTGCAGGAATACATTCACAAGGCATATTGCCCTTCTGAACTTTGGAGTCCAACCTCAAGGCCAAGAGGGCCTCTGCAGTGTCTCTATCATGTCAGCATAAGCAGACCTACACCCTGAACCAGGGGAGTCAAATCCTCTACAAGGTTTACCGGCGTAATGGATAAGGGGTCATGGAAGCTCTCCTGACAGCTGGAAGTTCCAGGCTGAAACCTCTTCTGGAAGCTTTACAAAGGGAGGTCTATCATACCTCCACCTATTGAACAGAACCCAGCACTGAGGAATAGATGTGATGGGGACTTGGACACCACACCCAAAGCTGCAGCACCTCATGTTTCTCTTGGACTTGTACTGACAGTCTGCGCTGGTGGGCATGCTTTGTATTCCATGCAAATGAACATGGGGTTCAACTTTGTACTTAAAATATAAGCAGCTCAATACAACCACACATTTGACTTTTTTCCTCCAGATAGGGGAAAAGTGCTGCATCCCAAACCGTATAGTGCAGCACTAAATAGTGGGGAAATAGAGCCACCATTAGAAGTGCATTCATTAGTGTAGTACGTAAAGTAAATAGAAGTACATGGTTTGTATTCTTTGATTTTGGTTCAGATTGTAACTAAGTTAAAATAATGACTTATTTTCTAGAGGTTTTGATTAACCTGACTGACTAGTAACTAAAGACCAAGTTACTCTTTGAGAAATTGTGTGGGTTTTTGACATCATATGTGACTGTTTTGAGAAAATGAAATATTATTTTTGACATCATAAATAAAAACTGAGACGCTAAGTATTTATTTTGACCGTTTCATTTGGCTGGTGGTTTGAGAAGAACTTGAGTTCTGTGCCGAGCTGAATTCTGCGTTTAGAATTAGTGTGATTTTGTAAAATCCCTGTTTTAATTACACTGAGAGCTTTCTGATCAATTGGGAACTGAACGATGTGACCTTGTAGTGAGTGTAAACTCTCAGCTCTGAGCATCAAACCAACAGTGAGACATTTCAGTAACAGAAGCCACAAGATGAACGAGCAGTGAGTAGCTTTAGTTAATTTATCACATTTAATTCTTTTTTTAGGGACTGACGAGCCAATAGTTTATGAAAACTGTCAAATCAATATTTAGACAAAAGCTGCTCTTACGACTCTTTCATAAGTGTAAAATTAACCCACAGTTTTAGGAAATATCAGTTTAAACACTGAGATTAATAACTGATCACATTGATTTATCAGTCTACTCAGACTTTAGCAAAGCTCAGTAACACTCAGATTAATAACTGATCACATTGATTTATCAGTCTACTCAGGCTTTATCAGAGCTCAGTAACACTCAGATTAATAACTGATCACATTGATTTATCAGTCTACTCAGGCTTTAGCAGAGCTCAATAACACTGAGATTAATAACTGATCACATTGATTTATCAGTCTACTCAGGCTTTATCAGAGCTCAGTAACACTCAGATTAATAACTGATCACATTGATTTATCAGTCTACTCAGGCTTTAGCAGAGCTCAATAACACTGAGATTAATAACTGATCACATTGATTTATCAGTCTACTCAGGCTTTAGCAGAGCTCAATAACACTGAGATTAATAACTGATCACATTGATTTATCAGTCTACTCAGGCTTTAGCAGAATTCAGTAATGCTGAGTTAACAACCAGCTCATTGAAAACGGTTCTATATACAATCAAAAAGTGTTCTATTTTTACAAGCTTGACTTCCTAACAATAGCAGAACATTTTTTGGTTCTACCTAGAACATCAAACAATATACAACACATTCTCCATCAATCTGAAGAACTATTTCACCATGCAAATAACCAGTTAAGCATGAAATGATTCTATACAGAACTCATGCTTCTAAATAGCACCACTGCTTTTAGTAAAGACCCCTTGAAGAACCCCATTTTTAAGGGTATAGAGGAAAAATTGAAATAACCAACATCAAAAGAGATACTTACACTGCTGGCATCAATGTAAATTTCCATTGACATAACTGATGATCGTTTTGCTTTACACTTCAGATCGTTTTGCAATCTGAAACCAGAAATGAGTGCATTTACATTTCACCCTAATAATATGATCACTATCTGATTCATGCAATCACCTGATTACACAGCTAGTATCTGTATAATTTGCAGGAGAAACAACGAGCTTTCATTCAACATCTGGTTTTGTAATGAGAGTAAATTTTAAGACTATTGTGCTTTATGGTTTCACTGACTCCAAGCTAATTGTGAGACATTTTAACACATTTCAAATGTAAACAGTGGCTGTGTTTATACTCACACTGAGCTTAAATGTGGAACTGAATGTTAATAATGCTCTTATAAATGTTCTACCTTTGTTCTCGACATTTGACTCCATAAGCGTTACTTACCCAAAATGATAAGTTCCAGTAGTGGTGAAGCTGTAGGGCTTAGAATTGCTCTACTCTCGAAATTGAAACGAAATTGAATGTTTGCTGCAGGTGTAGAAATTGCTGTTAGCGCTAACATACTAACATAAAGTGAAAGCAGAACCCCTGACTTAGCCAATCATATCAGACCTCGTTAGTTGTAAGCCAATCATATTAACTTTGCAAAGTAATGTCCGTCAGCAACCACTGAAGCTGTGACAGGATTTTGACAAAAAGCTGACTAAAATAAATATTAGCCTTTATTGAAAATCTGTAATATACAGAGTGAAACTGTAAGTATTTACAGAGTAAAGATTCCCACCTACAATATGGACTTGGGGCAAATTACGGTCAGTATAGCTGTCTGTCGGGTTTTTATTTGGTTGCTTGTTAGTTAGGTTAGCTAACTTTGTATTTTTATCATATTTTTTTCAATTTCATATGGTTTTAACAAAGTTTAACTAAATATACAACTCCAGTTCCAAAAAAGTTGGGATGCTGTGCAGAATGTAAATAAAAGTAGAATGCAATGATGTGCAAATCACGTAAACCATATTTTTAAAGGAAAATACTACAAAGACAACATATCAAATGTTGAAACTGAGAAATTTTATTGTTTTTTGAAAAATATATGCCCATTTTTAATTTGATGCCAACAACACGTTCCAAGCTTAGGACGGGGCATGTTTTACCACTGTGTTTCATCACCTCTTCTTTTAACAACACTTTGTAAGCATTTGGGAACTGAGGAGACACTGCTGTAGTTTTGAAAGTGAAATGTTTTCCCAATCTTACTTGATACAGGATTTCAGCTGCTCAACAGTTCAGAGTCTCCTTTGTCGTATGTTTCATTTCATAATGCGGCAAATGTTATCAGTGGTGACAGGTCTGAATCGCAGACCGGCCAGTTTAGCTGGATTCTTGGATTCTTTGTAAGTAATTTTTTTCGGTTACTGAGCTGTTTGTGTAAATCACAAAATCAACCTTACTTTCATCACCATCTTGTTTCTTACAATGCAGCACTGTTTTAAAGCAGCTGACAAGATCCCAGCAAGTGCAGCTGGGCTTAAGTACAGCCTCCGTACTGTGGGGTTAGTTCTTACACAGCGTTACAGCTAAGACACCGTCAGTAAACAAAGACTAATGAAGTACATTTGATTTTTTTGTCCCATGTTTACACAGATTTTAAGAATTTTATGAAATGAAAAAGAGAAACATCTGGATTTTCTTCTACTTTATTAGTGTCTTTCAGATGTTAGTAATTTGGTTTTAAATAGGTATATTGATGAAATTGACATTAACAGCTGGTAAAACTGGAGTTATTCAGAAATGTTCCATATTTTACTGATGAGTTTTTATTTTCCTTCACTGGACTCCAGCAGCACTGCTGTGTCTGATCCTCTTGTACCAGCACAACACAAACTAACACACCACCACCACGTCAGTGTTACTGCAGTGCTGAGAATGATCCACCACCCAAATAGTACCTGCTCTGTGAGGGTCCATGGGGGTCCTGACCACTGAAGAACAGGGTAATAGGGGGCTAACAAAGTATGCTGAGAAACAGATGGACTACAGTCTGTAACTGTAGAACTACAAAGTGCACCTTTATAGTAAGTGGACCTGATAAAATGGACAATGAGTGTAGAAACAAGAAGGTGGTCATAATGTTATGCCTGATCGGTGTATAACGCAGTACAGCTGGAAAATACATTTGTTTCTTATAAAACAGAATTGAATTAACTTTGTTTGCACTGATTGATCAGGCTTTTCTGACCCTCTGTTACAGTGAACCCACCCATGGGCTAAACTGTAACACTGCACTTCCCAAACAAAGTTCAAGTGTTCATTTGTAGCAGAGATGTGCATGTTGCTTGTATAAAAATAACATTATTCCAACTAAAATATCTTTATTTAGCAAAGCAAAATGTGTTAGGTGGTGCCCTGCTCTCCCTACAGCAAGATAATTTCACTTAGTATAATTGCAATGTAAACAGCTGCGCAACTTAGGAGCCCAGAGCCAAAACTAGTTTGAAAAAGTGCATCCAATTGCACCCCAGAATCACAAAATCTGCCCTAACTGTAAAAAACAAGCCCTGATTGATGTTCTAAATTCACAAAATAAAATAAAAAACAAAAACATCAGTTTCTTTATTGTAGGGTCCAAACTTATAGAATAAAAGACATTAAAGACTATTCTATCATTCCAACTAACTACAGCAAGTCAATAAACCTAGTTTTAATGTTTAAAACATTAAAAAATCAATAGCCTCTTTACTGTAAGGCCTAAAGTTTTATGAAGAAATGCATTAATATGTGCCCTATTATTGCAACTTACTGAAAGTAGAATTTGAATTGTGTTGAAGTTTAAAACATTTGTCACACGATTATCATTGGTTTCCTTACTCTGGGGGCCTTGATTTAAAATGAATATTCTGCACAAATAAAATTAAGAAATCTGTAGTTTTTTTTCTGTTGGGACCAAAATGGTGAACCAAATGCATTAAAGAGGTTGTCATTAATACAATTTACTACAGCAAGCCGAATTGAAGTGTTCTGTTGAATTTTAATTAAAATTGTATAGGCCAAAAATTCAACATTCTTTACAGTAGGAGCCAAAATTATAAAACCAAATTCATTAAAGAGTGCCCTATTACTACAATGTACTACAGGAACCGGAATTTGAAGAAAGCCTTGAGATGAATATTGATCAATGTTTTAATATTTAAACATACAGAATGTAAATGTAGGGGTCAAAACTGTAATCCAAATGCATTACAGTGCCCTGTGTTTGCAGCTTACTACAGCAAGCAAAAATGTAATTAAGTGTTGGGTTGAATTATGATGATTAATATTTTATATACAAAAAAATCAATAGCCTCTTTTTTGAAAGCCATAAATTTGTCAAATCAAATGCATTGAAGAGTTCCCTATTATAGTAACTAACCACAGCAAGCAAAATTTGAATTAAGTGTTGAGTAGAGTTATAACTAATATTTTACATGCAAAAAATTCAATAGCTTCTTTACTGAAGGGCCCACATTTGTCCAACCAAATGCATTGAATAGTTCCCCATTATTGCAACTAGCTACAGCAAGCAGAATGTGAAGTGCTGTGTTGAATTATAATTAATATTTTATAAACAAAAAATTCAATAGCTTCTTTACCGAAGGATGCATGTTTGTCAAACCACATGCATTTAATAGTTCCCCATTATTGTAACTAACTACAGCAAGCAGAATTTGAATTAAGTGCTGCATTAAATTATAATTATTGTACTGGAGGTAAAATGTTGTAATTATAGAAACAATGTCTAAACATTTAGTTTTGCATCCGTAGAATGTAAATTATACAATATATGTATTTTTTGTGGTGAAATAATATTTAAAGATTTAAAATTTACAAAAATATCTTACTGCTGTATTATTGGGCAATAATATAACTGTCTTTAATGCATGTGGTTTCATAATTACAGGCCCTACAGTAAAGATGCTATTAATTGTTTTGTGATTGGAACATTAAACACAGTATTTATTCAATATTTATAAATTTTGCTTGCTGTAGTATGTTGTAATCATAGGATTGTTTTACTGTGGTTAGTTTAAATAACAAGACACTCTTCAACTTATTTGATTTTACAAACTTGGGGCCTACAGTAAGGAAGTGATTGAATTTTTGGTATATAAAATATTAATTATAAATCAACCTAACAATTAATTTAAATTTTGCTTGCTGTAGTAAGCAGTGCAAGAGGGCACTCTTAAATTCAATTGGTTTTACAGTCATGGGCAATACAGTAAAAATGATATTGAATAATTTACATACAAAACATTACTTATATTTGATCCACAATGTAATTACAATTTTGCATTCTGTAGTAAGCTGCTAAAACAGGGCAGTCTTAAATCTTTTTGGTTGTATAAATTTTGGTTTGACAATAAAAAAGGCATTGTTTGTATCTAAAATATTATCTATAATTCAACCCAACACTTGTTTTGAACTCTGCTAGCCATAGTTAGTTACAATAATAAGGAACTCTTCAATGAATTTGGATTAACAAATGATAGCCCTACAGCCCTACAAATTTTTGATATTTTAAACATTAATTAAAGTGAAAATTGACACTTGTTCAAATGTGGCTTGCTGTAGTTAGTTGCAAAAATAGGACAATCTTATGTGTATTTAGTTATACAATTCCAGGCAATACAGCCCAACATTTAATTTGAGTTCTGCTTGCTGTAGTTGGTTACAATAATAGGGAAGCTATTGAGCTTTTTGTTAATAAAATATTCATTATAATTCAACCCAACATTTAATTCAAATTCTGCTTGCTGTAGTTAGTTACAATAATGGGGAACTATTAAATGCATGTAGTTTGACAAACTTGTGTCCTTCAGTAAAGAAGCTCTTGAATTTTTTGTTTATAAAATATTAATTATAATTCAACACAGCACTTATTTCACATTCTGCTTGCTGCAGTTAGTTACAATAATGGGGAACTTTTCAATGCATTTTGTTGGACAAATGTGGGCCCTTCAGTAAAGAAGCTATTAAATTTTTTACCTAAAATATTAGTTATACTTCATTCCAATACATTTGAATTCCAATTACTGTAGTTAGTTAAAATTGTAGGGAACTCTTCAATGCATTTGGTTTGACAAATGTCGGCCCTTTAGTAAAAAAGCTATTGAATTTTTTGTATTTATAATATTTGTTATAATTCTACCCAACACTTAATTTGAAATCTGTTTGCTGTAGTTAGTTGCAATAATGGGGAACTCTTCAATGCATTTGGTTGGACAACTGTGGGCCCTTTAGGAAAAGAAGCAACCTCATTCCAACAGTAAATTTTATTAGTATGTTTAATTTTTAAAACATTAATAAATATTCACCACAAGGCTTTTTTAAAATTTTATTCCATGTAGTAGTTTGTAGTAATAAGGCACTCTTTAATGCGTTTGGTTTTATAATTTTGACTCCTACTGCAAAGAAGCTATTGAATTTTAACTCTCTATAATCTTAATTAAAGTACAACAAAACAAATGTGAATTCTGCTTGTTGTAGTAAATATTATTAATGATATGCTATTTAATGCATTTGGTTTACCATTCTGGCCCTTATGGTAAAAAATCTATTCAAGTTTTTTTTTTATTTTAGATGTGTAGAATATTAATTAGAAATCAAGGCCCCAGAGTAAACAAACTAATAATTATTGTATGAGACCAATGTTTTAAACTTCAACACAATTCAAATTCTGCTTTCAGTAAGTTGCAATAATAGGGCATATATTAATGCATTTCTTCATAAGATTTTAGGCCTTACAGTAAAGAGGCTATTGATTTTTTAATGTTTAAAACATTAATTAAACTAAAGTTTATTGACTTGCTGTAGTTAGTTGGAATGATAGAACAGAGGCCTTTTGTTTTCCAAGTTTGGGCCCTACGGCAAAGAAGCTTTTTTATGTGCATAGAATATTAATCATAAATCAAAATATAACTGAATTTAAATTGTGGTCCTGTAGTAAGTTACAATTACAGGAAGGTCTTAGTTGCTTGGGTTTCAGCTATAGAAACAGTATTAGGGGTGCGGGAAAAACTCAATTCTTAGACGCATCGCGATGCGGACGTGAACGATTCTGAATCGATTCATAAATGTCAAAAATCAATTTTCTAAATATTTTATTCATACCGGAATGTTGACGGAACGTAAAAAGCAGAACTTGGAAGTGGGTAAGTGCAGCGCCTGGAGTGTTTGTAGCTGCACATAACAAAAACACAGCTGGATGAGCGAGAAATCAGACCGGCCTCCTCTGCATTAAAGCCAGGTTAAGTCAGGAGTCACAACACAAATGATCAGAAGAGCCATTTTGTCCTTTCAACAAAACTCAAACCACCTTGGGAGCCACAACATTTATGTCTAGTATGCCTCAGGGTGTGCTGATGTCTTAGTATAGGCTAAAAATATAAACGAGAGCGCAGACTTACTTTGCTCTGCTTTAAGCTTTAGCTCAGCTATAGCCACTTTCCTCCCATTTCCATCAGGAAAGTTTTCCTCAGAAGTAGATCAGCTTTGTAAAATGTCTCTCAATGTTTCGGTTATTTTATGAGGCTGAAGTCGCTTCTCATTCTGTTCGAATTTTTCCCGTTCCACTTTAAATTCTGCCTGAGGTGCCGAATGTAGCTGCTGCACCATTTAAGGTGGAACAGGGAAATTCGAAAGAGAAGCGAGTTCATCTTCGCAACGTTTTAGTGTTTGACAGTCTCTCGTTGCAGATTTAACATTCCAGGAACTAACTGCGCTGCTTATAAATGCGAATAAGTCCATTCACCTCCAAACGTAGCTAACCTACTAGCTTGGCGAGACTTCACTGCTATGTGACCTGCAGTCTTCTCAGTCGCTGAGAACCAGGGCTTTCGCGCTATGTTGAACACTTTGGAGCCGAGATTCAGCGTCCAGTCTCGGAAATATTTTACTGACACATTGACCCCTGACTCTCTACAACGAGACCAAAACCAAAGTTATAAAATCACTGAATTAAACGGGTAGGTGGTTGTAACGTGCTGCATGGACACCCATTACCACTGGATCTTATGTCACCCTAACAGCGCATTTTATTGCAGATGAGTGGCAGCAGCGTCTCAAACAAGAGCAGTGAATAAGAGCCTTCTAGTTCTCTTGCCACATCACTTCCATTTGATTTATTAATAAAAGATATTGGAAGTAAATGCATCACGGATCATTACAAATACTTTGCTTTAAAACTACCGAATCCTCACACAGTGAGAAAATAGAAATCATATATAGAAAAAAAGATGCATCGAGATGCATCGATAATCGTTTTATAATCGCATCGCAGCCCTCTGAATCGTAATCGAATCGAATCGTGAGGTGACTAAAGATTCCCACCCCTAAACAGTATAGACGCTATTGAGATTTTGACGTTAAAAACAAGACGCGCACTTTGTCGACGGTCCCTTACTTTGGTACGTGAAGATACGCTTAATGGCCTGTTCAGTCGGGGGTAATGTGTCCATAATTTCTTTTAAAAAGCAGTTACAGTAAAGAATAAATAGTGTAAAACCAGCCGTTAAGGAGTTCTAAACGCTCTTTCTTTACTTGAGATTTGTAGCTCCATAAGTGAGTGAGCTGTGTTACCTACCCAGACTGAGCTCTCAGCGCAGTTAAAGCTCAAAATCTCACAAATGCTCTGCTCCCCTCCTCAAGTCTATGAGAAAACGAAACTAAAGGTGTGCTGCGCGTCTGAGACTCTCCTTACACTGTGCATTAACCAATTCATGTCCGGATCCTATGTGGATTTACTTTGGCTGGATTCAATTCACTTGTGCCCCGTTTACACTTGGCATTACTCTTTAATTCTGGGTGATCTGATTATAAGTGGACGGTGCAGTGCAGGTGTGAACGAGGTACAGGGAGTCTGGGAGACGCATTGTGATCCAGTCACTCAAATCACCTTCGCAGGTGGTCAGGGATGCCTATGACCACATAGCTTCATTTTTCGTCTCCTCGACAGTCCGTTTACAGGTCTCATTAGCGGTTCGCGTGGTCTAAACGTTTGTAACGGCCTTTTACTTACACGCACACAGCGAGAGACTGACGTAGTAAATATGGGTGGTACCTTTCTCCAGTCACCAAATACGGATTCGTATGGAACCCAAAAGGGTGACATGGTGATTATTTTAATAATGTGTGGGCATAAATTAATATATATTTTATAGTTTCTCATAACTCGTGGCCTCAGTATAATTAATGGGCTCATTAAAGTAATTTTGTGGCCTCAATATAATAATTTTTGACCTCAATATATTAATTAATGTAATATGTGATGTATTAACATCACAACTGCAGTGAGGAAAAAGATTATAGAAATGTAGTGCTCATGAGGTACAATGTTTTTGTAGACTACCAGCCCTGCTGAAAAAATCACAGTTGCAAGGTTTCTGAAAGGTTTTACAAAGGTGTCTCACGGTTAGTAATGGTGTATGTTTTCCTGGTGGGTTAAAATTCTAATGCAAAGGATCCCAGTGACAGTTGACCTGTGATTGAATCTATGCATTTGATGGTTTTCTAATAGGATCTAAAGGTGTTCTGCAGGAAACGCCAAACCCCAAGGATGCTCAATCCCGGTCCTACAGACCTACCACCCTGCACTGTTTAGCTCCAGCTCTTATCTAACACACCTGATACAGATAATGATGACCTCCAGAGGCATCTGGATATTAGAGACATTTGTTTAGGATCTGAACTCTCCAGGGTGGTAGATCTCCAGAACCAGGATTGAGCACTAACCTTACACACTTAAAAAATGACAGATCTTCAAGGGTTCATTTATAAAGAAAATGGATCTATATAGAACCATGGGCACTCAAAGAACCCTTTCCATGACTAAAGGGTTCTTTGCATTGTGAAATTGTTCTTCAGATTGGTGGAGAAAGTGCTGTAGACGGTTCTATATAGAACCTTTTTGAAAAGGCTTCTATATAGCACCAAAAAGGTTTCCTCCATTGTAACAAGCCTGGCATTGTAACAATAGAAGAATGCTTTTTGGTGCTATAAAGAACACTATTCAAACAACAAAACAAATACAGACATTTTATTTACTATCCAAAAGCACCAGTGAACCTACACGGGTCTTCTGAGTTTTATATATAATGTTGATGATGGGAAAATAGTGGAAAATCTAAAATAATAAGCTTTCTTTGGAGACTATTTTGCTTCACAACACCCTGCATGTGTCCCAGATTTTTAAAAATATATTATAGACCAAAACCTTAAAAATGTAGCTGAACAATCTTGCACAAATTAAGAAAATGTCCTTAGACCGCAGAGAGTTGACCATAGCAGATAAGTTCTCTTCTGTGCCTTTTGAAGACGCTGGCAAGACCGCAAAGCTGATGTAAGCTTCCTGTGCACCAGTTAACTCCATCTATGGTTGTAAAGGTGACGTTTGATGAGACTCAGTAGCCACGTTCACATTCAGCCTAATAATCCATTAATAATCCGACTAATAGCTCAATCTGAACACGTCCATGTAAACACCTCAATCGGAATAGACTAGTCATCAGATTGTTGAGTAGAGTGAGCATAAACACCTCAGTCTTAATCTGTAATCGGAATGAATTCAATCGGATCTGCAAAAATCTTTGCATGTAAACACAGCCAGTGATTACTAGCCTTAGCACTGTCATCAACTGCTACTACTGTGTGGCCACTTTGGCTCTGGCTTTTGAACAAAAAAACGAGATAGCAGACACGTTTAACAGTAATGCTGCTTCTCTTTCCTTTTTAAGTTTAAGTTTTTTGTCATTGACCCACTTAATGTGGGTCTATGGCTATCCATGATTTTCTTTTTAATTCCCAATAGTCCATACATATCATTCGCTTAGCTCTGTGTCAAAAACGCTTCTGACCCAAAGGAATGCTCATTGGTTATGAATTCAGAATCCGTACGCCAATGACATTTCTGAATTTTTTTCAAATTCTCTTTGTCTTTTAACTTGATGTCTTGATAAGTGTTGTGTGTGACTTAAAAAGAAATCTAGCACAATCTAGCATCAGTACAAATTGGCTAGTTTAAATCATTGCTGGTCGAGGGCCCCCTGGTTGCTAGGGCCCCTGGGCATATGCCCAGTAGGCCCAGTTGACAGTCTGTCCCTGATAATGGCTAATATCATTGGTTGTTAAGAAGGGATTGGTTAAGAAAATAAGGTGGAGCTTTGGTCTGACCTGCCAGAGAAATGACAATAAACAGGCATGAATCATTAATGATGAATTAGTTGACCTTTTTTTGACATATACAGCTGCATTTTAGTTCTTGTTAAATTATTTATTAATCTTCTTCAATAAGGGCCTAAAGCCTTAGGAAAAACACCTTTTAGGGAACCTTTAAAAAATGAACATTTACATTACTTAAAAAGTTTAGAAACTAGTCACTAAATTCAGTCTGGCTGAACTGTTAAAATTACTTATTATTTACAGATTGGAATGGCCACAATATCAGGCTTTTTTACTGCTATAGAGAAAAGATGTGTACTGTATCTATGTTTATGTATATTTATTCTGTTTTAATATAGTGTTTCTGTTCTTAATTTGCGCATTTTTCTTTCTATTGTATGACTATACGGGTTCTGAATACTAGAATATGGCTTAGCTTTATAATCATCATTATTTTATAATCATTTTTTAAAGTGTTTTTAATATAATTTGTATTATTTATTATAAATGATGATTTTTTTATTTAAAAATTTATAATTATATAATTTATATAATATAATTATAATTATAAAAAAATGTAATTCTTTTTTGTCTTTTGTCCACTCAGTTTTTTTCCACCTGTCTACTTGTTGACAGCCAGTTTCTTTTAAAGAAGAGAGTTTCTGTGCATAATCTGTTTTTATTTGACTTTATTTTTATTCCAGCTTTTGGAGTATAAGCTCAAATAATAGTGCAATGTGAATACTAAAAGCTAAAAATTAAAAACTAAATTAAAAGAAAATGAAAAATCATGCGGCACATTGATTGGCGTCATTTTAAAGTTAAAATAAAAATTTTAAAATTAAAAGTCTGAGATTAAAATATCATGCCAAGAAGCATCACTACATTTTAATTTTGCCCTGTATAATTATCACACTGGTTTGAGTTAAACATACAGTAAATATAAAGTGATAACATAAATGCACACAACGTCTTAACCTCTTCTCAAGTCTCTACAGTGGGCAAAATTACATAAATCTGTGTGTTATCTAGAAATAAAGCTAGTCAGTGCATTCAAAAAATGAATGTGAATTGTGTGCAGTTTATATCTTCACTCAATGCCTTTGGCCTTCAGATCCTCTTTCACTCTCTTTAAGTAGTCGGGGTCTGGATAGCCATAACTGAGGAAAGAGGTAAGTGTTCAGTCTTAGTGCACATAATTATGCATGCGTATTTACGTGTACAAAAAAGTTAGCCAGTGTTTTTAGAATGCACTATAAACAGTGTTGAAGTTAAAGCTGCTTTCACACTAGACATTGGCATTTTGTGCCGGCTTGCAAAATCAGTGTGACCGAGGCTGCAGTGGAAGATTGGTGATGAAAGACCCTCTGTGTTGTTGCAGTTAACAAGCCACCCTTCAGGTTTTCACCTGGCCAGTGCAGTTGCAGTGCAGGCTATATGTCCGGGTGTCCAGTTTTGACTATCATTTATACAGTTTTTGCAAAGTTCTCTCGAATTGTGGGGGAAAAACATGCAATAAAATCATGCTGTTCAGTTCGTTTGTCACCCCCCCACTGGCAATTTTTCCAAACTCT